TATTTCCTTGCTGCCTTTGAGGGCTTACTCTAACTCAGTATGTACTGAAGACAGCAGCCCCCTACCACCTGCCCCTCTGGTGGGCAAATACTAGTGCCCTGAGGAGTTCCAGCCTCTGAACTTCCAGCAGTCCCAAAGCGGCTCTGCTTTTATTGCCTTAAGGCTGAAAGCCCGAGGCAGGGGAGGGGGTGTATGCCTAAGTACCAAGTCGCTGGTTCCGGCTGCCTTGACTGTATTTGCCAGTGGTTCCCAGATCTAATTTCCCAGATGTAAACCGGGCATTTGGCTGCCTGCAAGTGACTGGCAGTGACTGAGCCATTCTACTACCCCTCCATCCATTTCCATTCAACATCCCCGGAGCCAGGCGTGGGGGAAAAGGAAACTCGTCTCCGTCAATCCCGGTTGCTTCTGAGCGACCGTTCTGCTCTAAATTGGAGTAAACATTACGTAAAAGGGTTTATCCAAAACCACTGACTCGGGTTTAATTTTGTTTTCCGGGTTCAAAGAGAATCAGCCGTGCTGGGAGAGACATCTCCAGGCAGGTTAGAAGATCACTCCGGTCACGTTACAGAGGTATTACAAATGCGAGGCTTGCCTGTTATGTACGACGTAGATACAAAGGACCCTGGAATACGCGGGTGATCATTACAACAGGCTTCTATACTGAACTGGTTTGTAGCCACAGCTCAAAAGTGGGATCTTTCCATTGAACCGCAAACCAACCACACTTCATTTTAAACCAGGTGTTACTGTGATCCGGGGCTGATTAAACCATTAACGTGGAATGCGAATGTACCCAGTTCGTGTGAAGTTCGTGTGAAGGCGATCCCTTTCTGATCAGGAGGTAGGCAATGGGATTCTGTTCCGATCCCTATTTCCTCACGCCCGATTGCGAGGACCTTCTCCAAAATCCGTTGAGAACTGCAAATGCAGCTTGTTGAACCCCCATAATGGATTCAACCCACCCGGATCACCCTTGAAAGAAAAGCGTTTCCGTTTACAGAGAGAAAGACAATTCGAAGCTTTCCATCTTGATTCTGATTTCCTAAAAAATTGTGAAGGCCGCGTGAAAAAGATTAAATTTATTGCCACCTGTCTCACTGCTAAGAGACTCTGGGCAGCTTATGAATATAATTCAATCTATAATTCTACCTAAATCGAGAAAATGCCAGCTCTGACCTCAGCCTCATAAATAGTAAAGATCACGAAGTCCCAGTTCAGATTATTGCTCTTCTGAAGAGCTGCAAAAGCTGTATGACTTGGCAACTATGCTCAAATCACCTGCATTAAACCAGATGTAGCAGATTAAGACCCCCCCCCCAAAAAAAATTGGAGAGTTAGATCTAAAAAGGCGCTTTGAAAAAATTACATACCTTAACATAGCATTCTCCAATGTGTATGTTCTGAGGTTTCCCCAGAGGCAAGTCCAAGTAAATCAAATGGGATGTGCCTTCATATAGCATATACAGTAGTGTTGCTTGTGGAATATTGTTGCCTATTCCAACGGTGGAAGAGGAAGATTTGTATCTATTGATTCCCATGTCCTAGTCTGTGAAGCTGAGGTGGACTAAATATAGGTCTTCCTAACTGTTCTAAAACAAAGATAATACTTGATGTCATATAAAGACTGCAGAAATAGCCCCATAGGAAAGAACCCATGAAAAAAAAAGGCTGCATCAGACTTTTCATTTTCTGTTGTTCCTGTAGAAATCTGTCAAGAAGATCTTCTGGATCAATCAGACCTTGCCTGCACCTACTCAGAAGTAAATCCAATGGACTTAATTGGATTTACACCTAAATAAAGAGCCCTACAATTACTCTCTTGTAATATAGAGCCAATCTCCATTTTCTGTCTCAGGCTTCCTCAGGCTGGTACCTTCCTGATGTATTGAACCATGAAGGCCACCATCCATAGTTAAAAATGGCTACAGTACAGCAGCTGAAAAATGTCCATAGACCAGACTATGTAGAAAGCAGCAGGCTTGGAAACTTTGTTAGCGGATAAATACAAATAAATCTGTGTATGCAAACTTTGGAGTCAGTGGGACTTCCCACAGAGCAAACCTACATAAAAGTGAGCTGTAATTCCATTGAAAACAGACAAATTTTTGGTAGAGTGCAGGCAGGATAGCATCAGGAGAGCCAAAGTAAGTTTATTCCAGAGAACTTGGCAAGATTTCAGCCTAAAATTCACTAAGTTCAGGAAAATTGATTTCAAGCCAACATCCTTAGCATTATTCATTTCAGAATTTAAAAATATTCTGAGAATTGACCTCAGAGACTATAGTAAAATTAACAACCATCTCATCTCATCCCACTCTACTCCATTCTACTCTAAAAGCTGCCCTTCTACCCAGCATCCTCTAGAAAGCTGGAGTTACATCATCATTTTCAGACAGGCTGCTCTGAAGTCCTCTTTCTGGTATCAAGACAATCTTTGTTTATATCTTTCCCATCTGTCTTTTTGCTCCTCCCTAGAAGAGCAATTAGGATTTTACCATTAATTGTTGATTCTACTGAATGGTGAAATGTTTGTTTTTGTCAATGATGACATTTACAGTAAAATGTAATTGATAATTTCCTGGAAAAAGCTAACCACCCAAAGTAAGCATTTTGACAATGTTTACCTTCTTAACTTGTCTAGTCAGAAATGCCCTTATATTACTTGAGCTCTATTGCCAATTGTACTGCAACCCTGTTGGGAGTAGGAGTGACAATTCAGTCACTCTGAATAGACTGCATCAATGACACTTTTTGACTGCAATCTCATGTACATTCCCTTTGGAAATAAATGTTAAACTGAACAGGGCCTGGTCTGAATAAACATGCATATGGCTACTTAGTTCAATACAATATGCTTAGTTTTGTTACTATGTCCTGTTTTGGAAGTTTAGTACAACAATATCAGACCAGGCACTAACAACTGGGCTGAGTTTGCAGACTATAAAGCACCAAAACCCCAACCCCAGCCAAATTATTTTCATTACTTTGGAGGGATTTGTCTTTATTCACCCTAGTTAAGTGTGTTATGTGAATCCAATCACAAAGTGTACTTTGACTAGATTGTGCTCAATCTTATTGATTTGTTATTGTCATGTATTTTTAATTAATTGTGTATTCAGATGTCTGAACATAAAATATTTATTTAAAACAGTCCAGCAACCCTACACCTTTTATACCCATGAGCCTTCTAGGCATATTGGATTTCAATTCTCACCCAGACTTCTGGGAATGTTTATCCAGAAAACCAGCTGTGGAAAGTTAATCTATCCTACCACTCTTTGGAATATATTTGTTCTGTAGCAAGTTACTGTTCCAATATATCAGGACATGCTTTTGTTCATACTTGATTACTTCTTTATCATTCACTCATATGTAGCTATCACCTATGCTTGTTTAATGCTAACTTTGTTCTAGGCCCTGTACATCATGGCCAGTATTAGGATTTATAATTGAAGAGCTTTCAGTTTTTTTTGTTTACAAAACAAAGGCATGGGGTAAAAGAAAGCAAAAAGATTGAACTCCTGTGGCTCTGGCCCTATAAACTATAAATATTTCTGAGAAATTAAAGTTATAATTCTATCAAATGCTGGCCTGGAAGAATTTGCATCTAAAGAAAAGTTAATAGCAGCAGCCAGCTAAGCTTGCTCTAAGGTTTAAAAAAAAGTGCAGAAAAAGCAACTGCCCTTGACAAATCTTTCTCCATCATCAGTTGACAACTGTAAAATGGGTATATACCCATTACATTTCTTCATACAACTGTTATGGAAATGAATACAGTACTTTTTTAAACTGCATTGTGATCCTTAAGCACAAAGGCAAAGTAATTAGAGATAAATCCCCATGAGTTAAGTTCCTTCCTTCCAGTTAGGATCCTTGTCTTCCAGGACTGAGAGACCTCTGAGTGTTATCTGCCAAATATGTCTTGTTTTGGGGAGGGAGGGGCAGAAGAATCCTTTTTGGTTTTAAGTAACAAAAGCAACAGATCCAAGTGTAGGCATTTACAAATGAGTCTCACTGAGTTCAGTAAAGCGCCTGCTTAAGGCTGCAGTTCAATCTGAAGTTCCACTGAACTCAGACAAGTATACAAATTATTGCAATCATGGCGTGAATAAATCGAGCTGGTTTCTTTCCAAAGTAAACTCGCTCAAACTTTCAAACTTCTGCAAGTCCCAGTGGGTTAATTGAAACTCAGTACCGTGTCTCTGGTGCAGCCTAAAGTTGCTCTCCCTACTCCATTGCTGCCGACACCGGCTCTCCATTCAGAAGTGTCCAACCTTAAGTACAGTTAATTCATTTGGAAATTCCAAAAGTTGGATCGTGCGCGCGCGCGTTTGAATGCCTCGCTTGCAAAGTGCAAAAACAAAATTGCCCACACAAACCAGCTTAAGATATCAGTTGTAATATTTTGTTTGGCAACAAGAGCGGGGTGGTGGGGTGGGGGGGAAACGAGAGCACGCAGCCAAATCAAAACGCGGCATAAAGCCTCCAGGTAGAGGTATTTCACATTTAGAGGAGGAAGTCGTGCCGAGCTTAAAGCCGAGGGAGAGGGAGGAGTTGATTGACGGTTTCTATAGAAACACCGGATCCTCCGCCCCCCCTATAGGAGTCGACCAATCAGCGAGCCCTCCCGAATCCAGCCGACAGCTTCTGCTATTAAGAATATGTAGCAGGAGAGAGAAGCGCTGAGGAGTCACGTTGGGGAGGGAAAGAAGGAACGAAAGAACGAACGAACGAAAAGGAGGGGGAGAGGAGATCGGCTTTGGGGGGGGAGGGGAGAAGAAACTGCGATCCGTTTACACGAGCTTTGCTAGAACAAGCTGGCTTAATGGTTACTACGTGGCGGAGGGGAAACTTGATCAGCTAAACGCCAGCCGGGTGGCGGTCCGGGAAGAGGAGGAGGAGGAGCGGCGGGGGCAGCAGCAGGAGGGGGTGTGAGCACTTTCCGAGGAGGGGGGAGTGTAAAGGAAGGGGAAAAGGGGGGGAGAAATCCGGGGGAGAAGCCCCTCCACCTAACACCAAAGCCAGACCGGGGGCGGGGGGGGAGATGTCTTCTGTCTCTCCCACCACCGCGATTCCCAGCGTGGTGGCGACGATCAAGCAAGAAAACGTCCTGGAAATGTTCTGCGGCGGGACGACCGAGAAGGTAACCTCGGGCGGTTCGGCTCCCACGTCTGCACCGCCTTCTCGTCTTGCAGCGGCGGTGGCAGCAGCTCCTTTTGCTAGGAAGGAAAAAGCCAGGGAAGAGGAGGACGAGGAGGAGGAGGAAGCAGCAGCAGCAGCAGCAGCCGCCGGTAGGGTTGCGGGTCAAGTTCTACTCCACTCGGAACTTTTGGTGAGGAATCCGGCCGGGTCTCCCTTGTCCTCGCCTTCGCCTCGGTCGTCCTCCTCGTCGTCGTCGTCTTCCTCCTCGCCCCAGGCTCTGCTCGCTTTCTCCCCGGACCACGTCGCTTGCGTCTGCGAGGCTTTGCAGCAAGGCGGGAACCTAGACCGCCTGGCCCGGTTCTTGTGGTCCCTGCCCCAGAGTGACCTGCTACGTGGCAACGAGAGCCTGCTGAAAGCCCGGGCGTTGGTGGCTTTCCACCAGGGACTCTACGCCGAGCTCTACGGGATTTTGGAAAGCCATAGCTTCGACGCCGCCAACCACCCTCTCCTGCAGGAACTCTGGTACAAGGCGCGCTACACCGAGGCGGAGAGGGCCCGCGGCCGACCCCTGGGCGCCGTCGACAAGTACCGCCTGCGCAGGAAGTTCCCGCTGCCCCGCACCATCTGGGACGGCGAGGAGACGGTCTACTGTTTTAAGGAGAAATCGCGCAATGCCCTCAAGGAGCTCTACAAGCAGAACCGCTACCCTTCCCCGGCCGAGAAGCGCAACTTGGCCAAGATCACCGGCCTCTCCCTCACGCAGGTCAGCAACTGGTTCAAAAACCGGCGGCAACGGGATCGCAACCCCGCGGAGCCGCAGTCCAAAAGGTGAGAGAGCCGCGTGTTCGCGGGAACGGCTCCCCCCGCCCCGGAGCCTTTTAACTTCCACCAAAGTGGAGAGGCTGAGGAGTGGGGGGGGGCATGGCGGGAATCAGAGCAACTTATGTTTCTGGACATTCCCCTCGTAAATTCCTTCGAGAAAGGAAACTCGCTGCTCATGTTCAGGATCTCTCTTCAAATACGCTTTAAACAAATTATGCCCCCCCCCCAATGACTTTAGGCAGCAAACCGAAGGTTAAAAACAGAACAGAGTATAAAATAACAGTAGCAATGTACTGTACATAGGAGATCTAAAATCATTCCACTGCTAGATTAGACAAACCAACTTCGGGGGTCTGCTTAACTTCCTGGGGCAACGACCAAGCTTTAAGGCCTTAGGAAAAGCCAACAGGATCTGAAATGGCCAGCAGAGTTAGCAGATAGAGTCATGTAGTAAGACTGGGCATGAGCCCCATCCTCTTCTGAGTTTAGTAAATTCCACACTTCCCTTCAGTTTACATCCCCTTCCATTGCTTCTGGTACCTTCCCTACCACATGACTTCTGCCTTTCCTTGGAGGGATCACCCTCCTTTGCTGATGCCATCTCTTCCTCTGCCTTTTGGATTTCAAAGTGCTTCCTATATATTCTTGGTAAACCTCACAACATCCCTGCAGTGCAGGACATCTTTACTATCCTTCCTGTATTGTTGGATGGAATACAAGCAGCACAATCCTGAAGGCTACCTATGGAATTTGGGGCCCTGGCAAAGGTTAAAAAAAAAACCATGGTTCCAAGGAAGGCACCTGGTTTGCTTCTTATGCTGCTTTCCCAAACTCTGTCCTTGGGCCTCAATTCCTAGGCCTCCCAGCCGCCATCCTTCTGCCCTGCTGCTTTCTAACCTCCCGCTCTGGCTTTGTTTCATTCCCACCAGAGCAATTTGCCTCAATCTAACACCTTGCCTCTTTCCTGCTCTTCCTGTTTCCCTCCCCTCTTGTCTGCCTTTCTCCCCTCTTCCCCCTCCCTTGCCCTCTGTCCTTGCCTGGCTTTCATTCCTAACAAACATGGCGCTTACCTTCAGCAGCCCCTTTCTTTCCAGTCTCCCACTCCCAGCAACCTTGGGCTTTTCTTCTCCACGTTTCTGCTGCTTACTTGCTGGATTCAAAGAAGGGATTGTTGACGGCAAACTAAAAGGTTGTTTGATCCTTTAGACATAATTTTCTCCCCATCTTCTCTCACAATGTGTCTCCAAGATATTCACCCCCTCCCCTCAATTTTCAGCTCTGGTTTCTTGTAATCTTTAAAAAAAATCTGTGCCTAAGGGCACAGCTTCCCCAGACTTTCTCAAATCTTCCTCTCCCTAATCCTCAAGAGTTCTTTGTAGCTCAGATCTTCTTGGGTCTAGTGCTTTTGTTCAAGATGTGTCCTCTTTCTGAAAAAATTAAACACTTTGTACCCTCTGGTGCTTTGTTCCCAGCACCTCATTGCCATGCTCTGCAACATAGCCTTATTCCCTCCTGACCAGCCTAGTATTTTGGGTCCACCTTTGACAGAAGCAAGGCCTTTACTCTAGGTCTTCAGCCTATCTTCTCCTTAACAGAGGTGGAAAATTCTGTTTCTTCCTAGGAAGCTGCCTGTGTAGATCCAGCATCCCTTATATACTTCCCTTTAATTACATACTTCCCTTTAATTATATACTTCCCTTTTATTTATATATATAAATATACATACATACATACATATACACACAAACACACACACATATATATATAATATCCCATTCCTAGACCTATTTCTTTGTGTTTGGAGATTGTGAGGAAACTGTTTCCCCACTCATTTTGTTTGACAGTGTTAATTATTTCCCCAAGGTTTTATGTCGCTCAAGAAGGAAAAAAGTGAAATTTGAAGCTCATCGGCTGGGCTAGTAAGCTATCTCCCTCCCTCCCTCCCCCTCCCTTTTGGTTGGTGCCTTCTTTGCTCTTCTTGTTGTGAAACTTGATTCTGTGCTGATTTCGATCAGGTTTACGTCCTCAGAAGATGGGAATGAGGTCTTCCACAGTTTATGCTTCTAAGCAACCTGCCAGATGTCTTTTAACTGGCTTCTCCACTGGAGCCAGAGTCCTCTGTGCCTGGAGTGTCACATCATGCTGAGCCATAACGAGGTTTGATAATTTATGGTGTTGCAGTGAATCCAGCAGTTGCGAATATGCAAAGCAGGATTTGATACAATTTGTTTGTTCAGTCTTCCTTTGCAGACTCTTATCTGTAGGTCTCTTTATTTTCCAACCAGATTTGTGGACATAATTCCTGATGCTGCCAAAATCCCTTCTGTAGCTCCAAGGAACTGCTTAGGGCCTTCCAAATGCTAACCTTTTTAAAAGGGTTAGGGAAAAGTTGTCTGACAAGAAGTCACCCCAGATAGCCATCTGACTTGCAACAGCCAGGTGAGGTGACATGCCTCTACCCAAGTTACCCCTTCCCTCTTCCTTTTTAGAGGGACTGACTGAAGGCAGGAACAATTGCTGCCTCAAAGACCTCTGTTTTCAAGTAAGGGCACAATTGTGCTGATCTAGCCCCTTTGCGTCCTTGGAGCAAAGACATGAAATGCACAAATGGCAAGTCAGAAGTGAGGTGGAAGAGGGCCAGTCAGCAAACTCTAGCTAGGTGGAGGGTACCGAAGACATGTGGATGTTTGGACTTGCCACGGCTCCTAAAGAATAAAGGGGCTCAGGGAGGGGAGTGTATTGCGTTATGAGATAATTACCTTCTGGGAATTGCCAGGGCTTTTGAAAAGAGTTTTCCTTTGGTGGGTAAAATGATTATTAAGATCCCAGGTTTTTTCCATTTTAAAAGCATCCTTGTTTGTTTGTTTTCCAAAAGCTTGGAAAGGAGCCATAAACCAGGGCTAAACTTTATTGTGTAGGCTATATTGTATTTTCTCTTTTTATAAACAATTTCTTAGGAGCTGTTTGACTCATACTAATTGCATAAACAAAAATGCTTGCCATCCTGACCTATCCTTTATAATAACGCTTTTCCAAGGACAAGCCAAGGCATCTCTTTGATTCCATCCATCCACTTGATCAGTTGTCTTCCCCTTCTATTTCTATCAATATTGCCAAGTATGATTTTGTGTACTGAAGAAATTGTTAAAATTAAACTAAATTAAAATTAAATTCTGACTAGCATGGGATGGGGCGCATGCATGGGTGACCCAGGGTACATGTGCGGGGTGTGTGCATGCATTTTGGGTACTCAGTGCCAAAAAGGTTAGCCCTCAGTAGCAACGTGGCCCCACAAGTTTTTTTTATTATTATGATTATTATCTTTTATTCATTAAACATGAAACTCAGTCAAATGAACATTTAAAAATGTATTACAAATATCATTGACTGGCGCTGATGATTGATACAGGTTGCTGCCAGCATCTTAGGTATCAACCAAGTATCTTCTTAGTACGGTATTATTATTAGTATTATTATCATCATTATCATTATCATTGTATACATTATATATTTTATATATGGCACAAGACAATTCTTCTCTCAGTGCAGCTCAGGTAAGCCAAAAGGTTGGACACCTAAACTATAGCATCTATAAGTCCAATCAATTGACTGGTTCACTGATAGCTACACTGATTGTAATGATCACCAGCCAATAACTGTTGGCTTGTGCACAGGGTCAAAGACACACACTATTTTTTATGTAAAAGCATAATCTCTCTGGCTATAGCTCTGAAATTTAAAAGAGTAAGGAGTTATCCCTGAAACATATAACCTTGGTTCATGCACTGAGCAAAGAAATTATATTATTCTATCAAACCTTATCAGTTGGGATATGATCAGTTAACGTGATGGATAGACCAAGCTACTAATATTTTGCATTCATAAAATAGCAATGAAATCAGCTGTGTAGTTCATAGTGTGGTTTTCTGAATCACGATATTTGACTACAGTACCACTGACTTGGGTTCAGATATTCTGAATCATAACCAATTCAAATTAGCAATTCTCAAAAGCTGAACCTCAAATTAAAACTGATATTTGTACATCATGCAAATTAACTGCTACATTTGCACCTGACTTCATTAGTATTGTGGATGTATTCAATAAGCTTTGTGGCTGGATGGGAAATTCAGCCTAGATTTCCCTGGTTTTATTTTGGAGGAGTTTGTATATTACAAATGGCTAAAATAATGATTGGTTAGTTTTTGGCTTTATGTGTGTTGGAAATAAACCTGCAGGACAAGTTGATAGTTCTGAGACTTCTTCAAACATAGACAGCTGGATTAATTTAAATTGTAGCTCACCTAACCATTGATTAATAAGTTGTATGAACATAGACACTCTAATCATGATAATTAACTGGCTCTTTTTGCCTTCCTTATAGAAATATGAACTGTTGTCCCTGTTCCTGTCTAAGAATAGACTGCTTTCAGCTGTTAGCAACATTCATGATATTATGAACTCTCTTGGAATATAATCAACTTCTCTCTTTTAAGAGAAGATAGCTACGTATTTTGCAGTGCATTAATTACTTATGGGTTAATTTTTGTATGTGTCTGGTGTCCTAGTCCTTTTAAAAACCTTCCTTAAGTGCTTTCCAGAAAATAGGTGGCTTCTTGTGCAGATGTCGATAAAATATCCTGAAAGAATTGCCCATACGAGAGTAATCAAACAGAAACAACTAATTCCTCTTTATTTGCAAGGCTATCCCCCTCCGATCTGCTTTGGCTACAGTAATCTTTTTCTTCCACTCCCCTGCTGTGCTGTTTCTTCTTCCCTTGAGAAATAGCCAGGATTGAAGGCAGCCAACACAATTTGGTCCTTCTCTCATAATGGTGGTAAATTCATCAGTTCAAGATGCCATTAGTAGACTGTTGTGCCTGAAACCAGCCACTGCCATTTGGGGCAACTTGATGGTCTGAATATTGCTTTACTCTACATCACTAGATGTCTATTGTGCTTATTACAAGATCTTCTTGGCTGCCATTTTCCTTTCCTTTTCCTAC